TGCCCAGCCCTGTGCACCAGCTCCTTTTGCCAGCTCCTAAGTTTCTGCTTAGCTTGTGAATGTGTATGTTAAATATGTGCACAAACACAGATAGATCTGGGGTGATTCTGAACTGTTTGTGAGGACAGCATAGATAGCCACAGCATTCTAAAACAATTTAGGTCAGAAGGAACCTCTGGCAGTCTAGTCCAATCCCCTGCTCAAAGCCATTCTTTTCAGATTAGGTTATTCAGGGGTGTCTGATCAAATTTTGAACACCTCCAATGGTTGATTGAACTCCTGCAACTTCATTAAGCCCTATTCCAGTATCTGATCATGCTCACATTTTTTTGTTTTTTTCCATAATGTCAGACTGGAACTTATGATGTTTCAGATGATGTTCATTGTCTCTTGTCCTATCACCATTCACCTCTGAGGAGTGGCTCCCTCTTCCCTTTATCCTCTGAATAGTCATAGACAGCAGTAAGGTTTCCTCTTTACCTTCCCTTCTTAGGRCTGAAGGGACCCCACCCTCACAGCCCTTTCTTGCACTCAGATACTCCATCCTGGTGCCCACCCTGGGTGCCAATGTGGCATTTGCTCCAAGAGGTGATGCTTGTTCATAGAGGATCAGACTGCAAATTGCTGATGCATTTCTGCAGAGAAGAAAGGATCAGGGTCMCCTTTGTGTTACTGACGAGGTCCTACCAGTGGGCTGTCTTGCAGCACACTGCAGCACAGAAGCAGAAGGCAGAGGAATGATTTTCCCTGCTCTTGCCTCAGTTCCCCACATGGCTCAAGTACAAAGCCTTGCAAGGGGGCAGTGCAAGTGTCTTTGTCCTGGCACCCTTCTCTGTGTCAGTCTGTAGTAGCAGAGATGTGGTGGCACCATTTTCTGGTGCCACCTGGTTCATGTCACCATATCAGGAGTCCATTCTATCACATGCCAGTATGTGTCAGAGCAGTTGAGTGATTTGCTTCTCACTTTCCTGTGTGTGGTACCGTGCAGAYTTARGAGTGTTACCACATGAAACTGTAGCAATATTTTCCTTAAGATGAGAAAATATGTTGGGGTTTTTTTTT